TTCGATCAACTCAAAGTACACATGCAACGGCTAGGTCACTGGGCTTACCCAATATTCCGGTAGCAAATTTCCGACAGCACCGTTCCATTGCACACTTACTGAGGTGCAGAAAGTTCGACTAGGCGAGCTGAAATATCAGGCCGGGTTTAACATAACGTGCGGACGCAGATATCCCGTACCACGCTCCCTCTGCCCATTGTTGGGATCGAAGTCCTGCCACTGTATTCACCTCATGCTACCAGCAATACAAACATTGCACACCTCCGGGACCACTTTTAGTTCATGCCACTCCCTTTTCCTATCGCCTTAATGGAGAGCCCCGCAAAGGGGACGGCTCCATTTCGCGGGCACAGCATGCGGCAGGAGCCATGATTATGGAATCCTTGCAATTAATCATTCGTAACGCTACTCACAACCGATTTTTCGGCACATTCTGGTTTATGGAGATTGCTCTGATATGGTGTTTGCTACATTATCTATCGTAACTCTAGACGTCGATTAATTAGTACCTATCCACATTTTTACACTTTACTATTTTCTTACTATTACAGCCTGTCCACTTATAACATTGCAGGGCTGACGATGTTTGGGCGAAATATTGGGGTCCTACTGCCCGCCTTCATGGGCGAAAATGTACATGGCAAACTGCCCCAATTAATTTGATACAATGCGAACTACGCTATTAGTGCTAATAAAATACAAATGCCAGACAATTATCCAACCACCACGTCGTCCCACGATTCAACCGTAAGTAGACCTAATGCGACCACTCATCGATGCATCAGAAAAAAGATATCAGACGAAAAAACCTTATTCATAGAGCTGTACAACGCGGAGATTATTGTTTTGCTTATCCGTTATGTATTGTGCATAATATTTCGAATCTCTAAAAGTATTCAACATCCTTTTCATCTGCAATGGTGTCAGCTGGTATACATTTTTGGGATCTTTGGACATTGCTACATAATCATCTCCATAAATTTCAAGTAGGTACATGGAAAACAATCTATCATCCTCGGATATAAACTTCTCACGACATTTTTTCCACTGTTTCACACGTTTAAGTTCTAGATAAAGGTGTAAACAAAAAGCACCAATTACCTTTAATGGTCTTCGTTTCGATCTGGGTCTCGGGCGTGACCTTTGATTCCTACAAAATTTACACTAAAAAAAACAAAATTACTGCGTCCTGAACAGCCTCATTTGAATTAAATGCCAGGCCAAGTTTGGCAAAGTTATCTTTAATGGAGAGATTTCCTTTCCACCTCTTCCTCACAATTTCGCTAAGAAATCAAGAACCAAATTAAATAAACAAACTTATGGACAAAAATAGGTTTTTTTTGCTTGCGTCTTTCTTTTCGGCGATTTTTAGAGTAGTTGTACGTGTTCTTTTTGCTCATTTATTCCGGGTCTGATACACAAATTGAATACAGAGCTAAAGGAGAGAAAATATATTCAAATAGGTGAAAATAAGGAACACTTACACCAAAACACGCACACATCAAGATCCTAACTTACACTAAAATAAGGACGCTCACAACCAAGTTAATAAAAAGGCAATCGAAATAGATACACCAAAGTTGTAATAAGTATTTCACAAGAATTCAATCGCTTAGCACTGAAGTTCGCAACCAAAAGTTTGGTACACAAATTAGGTTAATAAACATAACATCGAATTAAAAAGTTGAGAGTGGACACCATATGCCGGGATTCAAATAATTAGTTAATAGAAGAGAAAGAACATACACACACCTCTGCAATTATAGCTGGACCTACAGTTTGGTACGTATTAAAACAACCTAGCAATAAAATTCTTGTTTTAAGCAAGTTACTTCTTCTCTCAACATAATATGACGTAGCCTGTGCTAAAATCGCAATAGCTCTAGTTACCTCTAGCAAATATTGCAAACGTCCTGTCGGTTTCAATAATACCAGGTTGCACCTAATGATAATGCAAAAGGAAATTTTAATTGGGTAAAAATAATTTCTTAGACACTAGCTACCTCATTGATATAAAAAGACGTTTAATAATGAGTTGATTATTTAGATTTCAGCTACTATTTCGGTAATGTGGTTTCTTGATTAACGTGTGTCTCCTTTTTTTACTAGCTCTGCAGACCAACGGAGATCAGCATGAATATGGAAAAAAACGTTATTTTTATTTGCGTACAGGTTAACATGTCCCACGTACAAACTGTTAAAACTGAGAGCTAGTCAGTAAATAAACGGTCAGAGGAGTAGTAAAAATTATCTATTTGTTAGCAAGCTCGCGGAACTGATAATAAAGTATAATTTTTTCAATATGCTTAGCGCATTGCGCAGCAGGAAATATCCATAAATATAAATGAAGAGTTCTCTGCACCTCAGAAAGTGTGCAATGTAACCGTGCTGTCGGAAATTTGCTACCGGAATATTGGGTAAGCCCAGTGACCTAGCCGTTGCATGTGTACTTTGAGTTGATCGAAACCTCTGGTACTGTCACAAACGATGACCTAGGAATTTCTGAGACAAGTACCGCGTCTACTTCAGCCTGCTGAAGCATTTGTTGAATTGCCATAATCACATTACTGGCCTGCTATCCCGCTGGGGGAAGTCTAACATCCACGCATCCTCCGAAAAATCAGATGCCTTACGCTGGCCAAATTTTCGCTGACCTAGAACTTACTCCTAGCCACTAGGCCTTCAAGGGGAAGGCATCAAAAACGCCCTAACACCTTACAGAGACAAAGCAAGGCACGCGAAATAATCTAATAAGACCCGAACGTGACATGAAGCCCGATTGAAGTCACACTAGCGGCTCAGTTCCGTCATACAATGGGCGAACACACCCTCACAGATTAAGCGAAAAGCACTTGCCTTTCACAGTGCCAATCAATAAAAGGGGCAACTGTTGCCTCCGTCACATTGTCATCCAGGCTTAATAAAGCACAATTTCGCAAAATACAATGTTTGAGCACCCGTGAATATAACAGAACACGGGGAAATCGGGAACAGAGACGGATTTAAGATTATGGGAGACTTTATGGAACGAAAACCACGCAGCACGAGGGCACGTACACACGCACTTGATGTTGTTATGACACAAGAGAAAGGTGATTGTTAGGAAACAAGAACAAGTACTGTGGGGATTTTGATAGAGGGAGGCAGGAAAGGCGGCATCAGATTGTATACACAAGTACAAATTTATTCAGTGATTAAATAGATAGCATTTATTAGCGTGAATTCCATCCTATTTTGTTTTTATCTTTTCTTCTGTATTTTTGATTTTTTTACAAGGTAATTAAATACACGTTGTCATATGTATCTAATTTTAGTTTGGAAATAGGATTTTATAAAAATAGCTTGCTTAAACATTTGTAATTTCTGTGTGTATTTTTAAAAGTTTTTTTTGGATGCAATCAAGTCCATCTTAAAATTGCAATTTGTGGAAATTTTTTGCAAATCAATACGTTTAATAAATAGATGAATCGCTTATGATTGTTGATTTGTTCGCAGTTAACTGCATTTAATTTGCTTAGATTCAACTGCTTAATTTACATACCTTTTTTAGGTTCTAAAATCCTGATTTGTTGTAAGCGAATTTTCCTTACTTCATTTTTGACACTTTCGATGAGATATCATGCATCCAGCCTAGAATTTGGAGCACTGACAAGTCATTCGACTTTTTCCTTTAAGCTCTGTAATCTTTCAGTTTCATCCACATTGTGCCGACTTTTTCAGTTGCCGAAACTTCTAGGTTTTCGCAACACATTGCTTTTTTGCGACATTACAATATTTGTAATCTATAGATTATTTTATGCGCGTTTTAAATTGAACAACGCTTCCTTAATATTTTTTTACGTTCTGTCATTTATAAACATTTTGTTGTAATTTTTTCGGTTTGGAAACTTTTTTTGCTTTCTGGTTACCATATATTTTTAGAAGTGACGATCTCTTTTATAATGAAATCTGGTGCAACGAAACTGCTGTATTTACCACCAGCAAGTCGCCATCGGACACTTGGTTTCGTCCAACCGCGTTCAACCGACTGCAATGCTCATTTTATGGCGCCTCGTACTTGTCCCTGTGTCCGGTTGGCTGCTGAATTTCAACACACGCCATTCAAACGCTTCCTCATAGTGGATTGGTTGGGCTCGGCCTGATCCAATAAGTCTGCGCCTCTGTATTGTCGAAGCAATTTAACTTTTGGATTTCTTTTTTCATCATGTTTAACATCGATGATCTGGCATACATTAATGCCTACCGGAAATCTATGACATCGAGTGGGGGTTCGGAAACTAGGGAGCCCATAATATTTGGAAAAGAGGTCAAGGAAATAGTGCCATTTACATTGATCACTTTATCTGATGAGCAAAAGTTTGCCGTGGAGCGGGCCAAAAAATATGCACTGGAGCAAAGCATACAAAACGCCGTTCGAAAGCAAATGACTCAATTACAGACACAGGTATCCGAAATTCTTTTTTTAATATATACGTAGGACATGAATAATATAAAACAAACTCAAGCTCTTGTTCTCCTTAGTCGTATTTACGTTGGTTCCATCAGTTTTGAAATTGGAGAAGAAGAAATCAGAAAGGCATTTTCCCCATACGGTCCCATTAAGTCAATTGCATTAAGTTGGGATAGCGCTCTTCAAAAGCATAAAGGTTTTGCCTTCGTTGAATTTGAGGTTCCAGAGGCGGCTTCGCTTGTTCTTGAACAAATGAATGGCTTTATGATTGCTGGACGTGGAATAAAGGTAATCTTTTGCAACGGATAAGAAACGCATTCTTTTTTGACTGAATGTCTTATTTTGTGTGATTACTTCGTGTTTGCGCTCTGAGCTTCATTTGGCATTGACTACGTTAATCAATAAAGTATTCTGCTGGTTTAAAACGACCGCCGCGGCTTACGTACGTTTTCTATTTTTCGTTCGGCTGGTTTAGTTTGGTGCTAAAGTGTCTAGAGGTGTTTTTTTATTGTGAGTGATCCGTACTCTTACATTCTGTTTAAGGTCGGTCGGCCTAGCAATGCGCCCCAAACAGCTAGTCTGGAAGCTGAACTACGTCAAGATCCGTCAAACAAATGTCGGATATATGTTGCTGGTGTCCACCCACAACTTTCGGAAGCTGATATTCAGACGGTATTCGAGGCATTCGGAACGGTTAAGTCTTGCAGGTAAGTATTCGAATTCTATCGTCCAGGCTCATTTTGCCTCTGGGTTGTTAGCCAGCACTTGTAACCGCACTTTTTACCTATGCGGTTTGTTAATACTGTGGTCTTGATTCAGTCTTGAACCAGATGTGAAATTCGGTCAACCAGAATGTAACCACAAAGGGTACGGTTGGATTGAGTTTGAAACGGAGGAGGCAGCGATTGCAGCTGTGACTAATATGAATGGATTTGAGATCGCCCATACCCTTCTTCGCGTTGGTAGAGCTATCACACCAAGGAATTCTTCCAATTCTACTTCTGCGGCACTTCCTACTGCTGCAGTTGCTGCAGCCGCTGCGTCTATTTCGGCTCGTGTCTCAGCACTCGAAAAGGAAAACGCAACTGATGTCGCACGATCCGTAAGTGTTCCTTGCATTCATTTTGCTTCGAACTCTACACAAAGTTGTTTACTTACTTGTAAAATCGAACTTCTTTTCATATTTTCAAATTCAATTTTTTTACGCTATCAGCCTTACTAATGAACCCTTTCAGTATTCGAAAACAAAATAATGAACATTGTACTTGGATTTTTTATAATTATCGCTATCTACCAGTTTCGGCGGCTCTGGCCCTCAAACTCGTCACCGTGCGCCAACCAAAATTTCTTGTATTCATTCGGCACATGTGATGGAGTTAGCGAAACCTTAGAATTTGCTTTAAGTATTTGGTATATGCACGTACTTGATGTCTGCATTCATCGTTGTTTCTCTATCACTTTTTGCTCACCTGCATTTAACTTTCGCTTGTTTTTAATGCTGTGGAACCGTGCTGTTTTAATACTATTTTCGTACTGGTAAGGTTTCAGTAGGGGTTTATTGAATTTGTATTTTGATAGATGTTCTTGCAATACCCTTCTTCCCAGCTTCGAGGTATTTACCTGAGCATCTCTAATTTATTATTCGACAAACTGCGTTCCTTAATTTCATTTTACAAAGAAACTTAACGCTTAAACCTTCCCCTCCCACCCTTTATCATTTGTAACAAATTTCTGTCCAAACTTTCCGTTGCATACGTTCCTGAAAGCGGATCTTACGAGGCGCCCTGTCCTCAAAACATTCGGATGTTAGATAGGCTAGAAAGTATGTTTCTTCGTGCATCCTCTACCCCCTTAACGTTTGGTTATGTACGTTGGATACAATTAGTCAATAAGTAATGCTGGTTGTAGGTAATGTGTAAATATATTCAGTTGTGACTGCAACATTTTAAAACTGCTATTTAGGTCGTATTTCCTTGAATTTATTTGACTCTTCGTCTGTTGATTTTGGGTATCTGGGACCTTATGTGAGTCAGTTGTAGTGAAAATGTTTCTGTTTAAATCTGTTTGGTGCATCTAGTGTAACGCCCTCCATCGGCTTTGGACTGCACCTCATTTCGAAAAATGCACAAGCGAAATTCGCCCTTATACTCTTCAAAGCGCATCAAGTTCTGATGACTGTACATTCCCCTTTAAGAACTACCATTCCAAAGGCCTGCACCAAGTATTTTGGCTTCCATTTTTTTCTACATGGGTAAAGACTTCGTGCCGCTTAGAGTCGTGGGGTTACTATTTTGCGATCGATATTGTGATTTCTGGTCGATTTATGTGTTGTTTGTTGCTGTGGGTAACTGCGACCTGTGACATTTTAGTGCCATTATCGTAATTTTCGGTCGAGGTCCGTCAAGTTTTGGAAAATTTACCTCCCATCATTTGGGTTTTGGCACCCGTAGTGATACACTTCATTCACTAAATGTCTTGGTTTTCTGACAACAAGTATTCACTTGTTCGTCGAGCCTTCTGATAATATGACTGTGGAAACCCCCTTTCTAAATTAATTTCTTCCAATCCTCACCCTAATCTCTTATTAATTTCTCTAACATTTATATTTAACCTGTTTTTATGGTTTTTTTGAATCCAGCCTTTACCCTCACAATAATGCGCCTGATTATCCATTTTGGAAGCAATAGTATAATTGTGTAGTCACCCAGTTTTCTGTATCTAGTCGTTATTTTCCGACCCTATTTTCTTTTCGTCCTTCACCAGGGTCATTCAGGCTTGTTAACTTGAACTTAACAATCTTGGGATTGTCAGAAACGCGACACTTTTTGTTACGTTTGCCCGTAACCAACAAAAATCCACTCAGGTAAACGGTGCCAGATCCCTTGTCTCACGCTTGAACCGACCATCTCACGCTAATGCAGAACAAAGACCAAAGCCCATGTAGAGAGCTTTAATCGTCTCAGCCAGTGGGCGAGTGATCTGTCATAAGGTGAGCACTTATGTAAGTCTAGGGCGACCTCGACCTGATCGATGAAAGCGGGTTAACATAGATGCTAGGGAATTAGTGTAAGTAATGTCGAAGTGGGCGATGAGCCATTTTGGGGAGTCCTCGATTCCCAACAACCATATAGCACTAGAGGGAGCCATCAGGCTCCATTGAACTTCTTTTTATTAGGGTAAGATGTGGTATCAATTTAGTATGATAATCTGGTGATATCGAATAATTTCTCGGTACATGGATTTATTGGTAGATAATGCCAACTGAGAGCTACCTTCTTAGCGTCATGTATTTTTGGCTTAACAAGCCACGAGGTCTTAATTGTGGTGAGTACTTCAACCCATTGCGTAGTAATTGGTTCATACTTTTCCTTTATGCTCAGGTTCCTTAAATTTAGGCCCTCAAGTTCTTATTAATGTAAATCGTTTCATCATTTTACATAATTTATTTTCCTGAATTTAAGGCCAATATTTACCCCTCAATTGCGTCAATCTAATTAATTGTTTATGCGAAAATTAGTCGTTGGTGTAACTGACGTAGGCAACTGAATACTCTTTGTCACCTATACGCGGTAGTAGTTCTCCAAATAAAATCTCAAATTGGGTATTTTTAAGGTTTGCGATATTTTTGTTAGTCACACGTTTTGTCACTTTCTTTTGTTCGTTTTTGGATTAGTATTTAATAAATGTCTTATTGCGACCAAAATTTTTAAGCCCACTTTAGTAGTGTATTTAAATTTGGCCAAACTGACATTTCCATCCACTTATCTAATATAGTCTTACACGAGCGCCGCAATGGCTGAAGTTCATGATCTTTCCAAGTATAGAGCAAGGTTACTTTCGTTTACCTTTTATTGATTTTTCTTTTGTCGCTAAATCTGTAGTAGTTTTGTTATCCGCAGCTTTTTCCAGTTTCACGCCGCCTTTTGTTTTTGTGACGGACCCATTCTACCTATCCCCTGGTGGTACATTTTCCACCAGATATATATTGCTTTTAGTATTTTCACATACTTCAAGTCATGGAGCAAAAGCGCGACCCCACTGGATGTGATAGTTTTGATTGGTACAAAATGTCTACTTTTTGACATGAGTAGCTAATTACTGAAGGGGTTCTCTACGTGGATGGTGCTTTTCACTATTATTTTTCCCTTTTAAAATAGTATGTCTTCTTGAAAAAGACAACTAATGTTGCTTTTTCTGTTCCCTCAGCTAAGTTGAGCTCTGATAAGTCTGACAGATTCCCCAATCAACGGTTTACGTAGAAATATGCACCAACCCACGTTTAATTTACTTTATTTGTAATTTATCAAATTAATTTTATGATCAATTGTGTTGATATTAAACAAATACGATCGTGCAGACTGATCACAGGTAATCGCAGCACTCTATCTAAAACTTGGTGTATTGAAGTAAATTAAGCCGCTAAATCAACTGTAATCTGTTGGTTTTTTTTATTGTATGCCTTTTTCCACTCACCGACGGTCCTTTGCAAAACATTGCGGTATTTCAAAAATGCAAACTTCGAACGATAAATCAATGATAAAAAAATGAAAACATTAAAATGTTTAGTTTCTTCGGGAGATGGCCATGCGGACTTGACAACGTAAAGTCTAAAACCTACAAGCGCTCAAACATCTCCGTTGGGAGAGAGTGTTGAGTTCACCTCATCACACTTTGTTCTGCTCCTTCGATAGTCGCCTACGGCGCCGTCGGTCACGTCGGGATTCTCCTCGGGATGGGGTAGTGGCGAACACGTGCCCCCGCCAGGTGTCTTTGTTCCTCCGGTCACCACCGTTGTAGGCGGCACCGCGCACCATCCTTCGGCACCACCTTCTGGTGTGCCTGGTGAGTCGCACATTTGGTTCATTTTACTACCCTCTGAACTTTCGACATTCGTTTACACCCGTGACTGCGTCTTGGCCGTTATTTGTGTCTTTTGCTTCGGTTGACATAGCGATTTTGTAATTGCTTTACTTGCTTTTTTAAAGTAAGCTGCTTAAGAACTGAATGTGGGCTTCTCGATAAGCACTGATGAACACGTGTAGTGCCGTTCAGTATGCAGCATATTGTATCCAAATATCATTTTTTAATTAAAAATCAGTGGTTTAAACCTGTTTTTTTTTAAATATATTTCCCGTATGTGTGATATTTGTGTCAACGATGATTCATTTTAAATCATAGGTTTTGTGATTAGTTTGCAATGTAAAAGTAGAGTACGAGTTATCGTCGAGTACAATTGTGTTGGCGCTTCGTAATTCTCTCTCGAAGATCAGATGCGTCGTTTAGCATTGCTGCATTGTTGTGTCGACGAAATGCTATTTTTCCCTTCCTCTTCCTCATCACGGATTGACGGCAAAGACCAATATCACAGAAATGCCCATGCTTTTTTGTGGAAGTCCTCCTTCTGAAATGTCTGTGATGAGAGATTGCTTTTACACATTCGTTGCTCAAAGTTGGTTACTTCTTTCTATTATCTGGTTATGATGTATTTCGAATTCAGTGAGATTGTGGGCTGCGAATAACCCTGTTCCAGGGCCACGGTAATGCTTGGGCTTTTAATGTACCACGGGACCATTTAGGTCAATTGGTGGCAAGACCGCGACAATTAAGTTGTGGATTTCTGTGTGGCATCGGCAACTGAAAGAGAACAAAAATGCTTGGGACTGTAGCGGCTAGGTGGCTCATGGCCACTGTGATTTTAGTGAGATTAGCGGTCAGCCTTAGGGAATTTTCGCCAAAGCATAGCTGGCTTCCCAGGTCCTGGTTAAAAGGGGCTCAGGAGTTGACCTTACTTTATGCCTTATTTTTGTCAACCTTTTTGCTGTTCACCGGTCGGCGCCTTCAAGCCGACCATGTGTTACGGTTTTTTCACATGATCCAGAGTGCTGTGAAAAGCAAAGAAATTTAGAATGTTCACCAATTCAATTGTTCCTCTGACCCGCGCTCCTTAGAGCTAAATCTGAATATGTGTAGGGGTAGTGAAATGTCGGAAAAAAGCCAATGAACTTTATGTAGACGTAGCCTTCTTTTAGTTGATTTTAGATTTGGGCCAACATTAATGGAACTCAATGAGGTAATACGAATGTAACCTTAAAATCTGGTAAAAGTAGACCTAGTCTTCCGAATAGGCGACGTCTGCGCTTTCTACTTTTTTAATTGAGGCCTAAAGCTATTTCAAGTGGTCGCAGAAAGTGTTTTTCTTACTACCGTGGTGAACTAAGTCATGGTGGCAATGCTCCATTCACTTGACTCCAATATGACTGTCGAAGGGCTTTGTGTTTTCCAAGCGACGGTGTTGTAACTGTTATAGAGCAATTACCTATCCCTTTTATTTTTAGCCCCTGAAACTCATTCGGCCACCGCTGGTGCTCATTGGGACGATGATGATGTTACCATGACAACCCAGGATGAAGATGTGCATACCGACGTTATTCAAGATGCATATTCCCCCTCAGCTGTATCACCTATTACCTCAGATATCCCCTCAAGGTGAGCACCTTTCGTTAGTTAGATGGAAACCGAAATTAACAACACTATGAATCCGTTGCATGCAAGGATCACCCAGGAATTTCGTTCCCTAACTAGGCAATTATGGCTACTTTTGACATTGTTGCTAGGAGCTTGCTGCATTTATCTTCTTTTTTGATCTGCTATCGTCTATCTATTGCAATATTTTAGCGTGGTTTTGCTGGAGAACATGGTTTCAGCGAACGAAGTCGACTCCTATCTGGAGGAGGAGGTGGCAGAAGAGTGTAGTAACTTCGGCCAGGTCCTGCGGGTTCTCGTGCACGTTTACGGAGACGAAGGTCTAGTGCGCATCTTCGTGCACTTTGACAGTCGCGATGCCGCTCAAAGCGCCGTTCAAGGACTCAACGGGCGCTTTTTTGGTGGCAGGCAAATCGTCGCCCGCCTCTACCCCGATGAAGAGTTCCAAATGCGCAAACTTGATCTTTGAATTCGTCTCCACATTGATGTTCATTTTCAATACGTGCTTGAATGTAAATATCCTGTCTTAGTGCAACCGCCATGTGTGTGTGTGCGTTGCTCGCTAAAAGTGTCCTTTTCATGTACTGGTATCGTTCGCGTTAATTTTCTCGAATGCTCACATAACTCCACGCTGCCAGTTTGTGCTGATTGGTAGGTAATGGTTGCACTTATTGTGATCCTTTGTTTCAGTAGATTGTGATTTTCGTGGGGAAGATCTGCCTGACGATAGTGTGAACAATCCTAAGGATGATGGATCATACCACCATCTGAACTGCCAAAGCAGCCTCTGGCATGCGCAATTTAACCCTAAAGTCAGTCCGAGTCGGTACTTTTCATGGTAGTGCAGATTCCCCAACATCTTTAAAGTTACGGGAATCAGGGGGAATGATACTAGGTAGATTGAAACTTCTTGTAACTCTCACTGATACAAAACAGCGATGTTATTTTTCTGCCGCATCTCGTTCTTCCTTTTTTTGATCTGTGGGCAGATTTTTTTGGTTTCTAAGCTCATTTACGTCATCCTATCTTCGTCCTCTGCATGCACGCATGCGCTTTTCCTGGGCTTTATTACAAACGAGTTCAACATAAAAGAGTTAAAGTAACCGATGTTCTCTGAACATGTCACGAGCCTGATCCACCGTCATTTCTAGCTGAAAGCGAAGTGAAAGCCCAAGTAACTCATACTGTAAAATATTCCTTGAATTTATGTTGCCTTAGAGGTCTAAATACAGCGTTTTAGCGATGGGACTAACACTACTTTAAAAGGAATGGTGAAGGGAATATGCGTCGACATTCCTGGGATTTCCTAATATATCAAACTCAACGATTTTGATTGCTTGGCCTAATTCGAGGCTCTGTTGTAACGGTTCACTACATCTTTAACTTAGCCTTACGGCGTGGAGTGATTTGTCGGAGGTTTGCACCATTATCGGTGGAACCAAGCAGATGTTTCCACTAACAATACCCACGAAAAAAATCTAGACACAATAGCTTTAAAATCACCTAGGTATATTCAATTTGCCGTTTCTCTGCCCCCATAACTATTTCAGTAACCGTGGTTATTCCTCACCATCCCGGTTGTTCCTCCCAAATTCGGACCGATGCCATCAATATTAAATCGCTCAAGTGGCCTGAACCCGATAGACAAGGGATTCATGTCGAGATAATCCGTGTTCAAGTTAGCAGGGATTTGGTTAATTGGACTTAATAGCATTGTACCCAAGAGATCTGTCAATTATGGTGTGCCCTCACAGTAGGGAGTTTTCCCTAAATCCACTTGTGCCGAAACTGCCCAAGTATTCTGTACAGGATTTTATGTATGCCTTATTGAGATGGGTAAGTGCCTTATTCCTGCAAGTCACACGAATTGAGCGCTGCCGAAAGTGTGCCTGTGGTTAGTATGCGCGATATGAGGGCTCACCACACACTGGCGTCATGCTCTCGACAGCTCACGTGCACCGTGGTAGTTTACGCAGTGCAGCGTGGGGGAAACACGCAAAAGGTAACCACGTTGTGTAACCTCTGTTACATACAGGAAAGTCCCAGAGAAAGCTGGTAACTAGCTAAGATTGGGTGGCTCATTTTTAAGTCAATTGTGATCCCCAATGGATGGTGTGTGTGAGGCGAGGATTATGCTCGACCAAAAATGATGGCGAGATCTGAAACCTGTTTGTGTTACTCACACACGCTAGAATGTCTACTGCAGCTAACTGCTTTTAAATATCACATTTCATGACCGGAACATGCTTACGGTGATAGTAAATACTGTGCCTTTTGTGGGCTCCAAAGTTGTCTATTGTCAGCTATCGCTGTAAATTTGTGCCTATGCAATTCCTCCTTTCATGTCCGCCTAACAGTTAACTCCGAGTTACTTTGCGTGGCCCTTACCAGTCCTGCATTTGAGTTGTGGGATTGGTCACTGTTAATTCTCCGAAAAGTAGGAAGACACTGGTAACCAGCCCTACTTTTGTTGCAAATAAAAAACGGACAAGATCTTCCTCAAAATATATTAAATAAGTGAAGATAACGAGAGTAAGCGAAGAGAAACAAAATTCGCATCTGGGTATGCCTAAAGTGCAAGATTCAAGTAGGTTTATTTGAGCTGTATGTAGTATGGTGGGAAAGTCGACCCTCGATTGGGGCAAAATATCAAAGTTTCAATGCTGTTGGGACACTGCTGTTATTCAGTTGCGAAGTTCTCGACAGTTAAGTTAAAGAGAATGTTCACTTAGAATCTCCCACGTTGTCTAAAAGGTAAAGCGAGTTTGTGAACAAAAGCAACGGGACTCTACAATCAGAAGAAGAAAAACCAGTGGTTTAATCAAGTTAGGCCGTTAAACCGCCATCCACGTACATATTCTAAAGCCATACCCCAAATCATCGAAATTGTGCTGAACACTGCAAACAGATGGTACAAAATGTTGCAGCCTTCAGCTAAGCTGGATGTGCGACCGGCCATTCAAAAAACAGACAAAGGAATGAGAAAACTTTTCGCTACAGCACAAAACAAGGAGGCTCCAAGTAGGAGAGGGACGGACGCCATAATGAGTGCGCAACCGAGTTGTCACTTGCCAAGCATTAAGGCATAATATGAGTTGCGGTAAAATGCACTGACCTTTTGCGGAGATGGAAGTGGATTCCAGTAAAAATGACGGCAAGAATTGCATGAATGCAACCGACAACAATATAGGCGATACCCAAAGTCGGATTTCTTCCACCCAACCAGCTTGCCTGGGAGATGATAAATCGTTTGGTGCCACTAAACTGAGTCACTGGGTAGGCTAAAGCGTAAAAAGCGTATACATATATATATACTACCTCGAAAGACGGACTACATCAGACCCTATTGATGTCGAATTTCTGGAGATAATACTATCACATTACTATTCAGCTTAAATATTCAGTTTATTCAGTTCAGCTGTAAAAAGGGTTAACTTAGCACGACACATAATCAGACAAATTCGCTGTATTCACTTTCCAGAACAGTAGGCATGCCACGCATTGGGATGGATTAAAAGTACAATGGTAGGCATGTAGTGCAATCTTTGGGCTGGACATTGGCATAATGGGTCAACCACAACCACAACAGGAAATGGAAAATGAAATAAGCATTGCGCAAGAAAAGTGGGGTGTGAGCTAAAGTGGTTCCAAGTACATGATGCAAGTAGAAATAAGCGATTCATTTAAAGATGCGTGTGACGGCATTATTGGCTTCCAAAATTTTGGATCAAACAACTCGTGGTCATGTTTACTGCAACAACATATTGAGATTGTGCTTACCGTATGAAACATTTACTTCGTAGTCCCCAGCGGGCAAACCATCAGCAAAATCATTTTCATGCACGATATCCGCGTAATTTTTGCGAAAATTTGGCAGCGCAGCAGTTCGCATCCAGACGAGTAATTGGGAATAACCGGAATAAGCATTTGGGTTGACCTCTTGAACAGGTTTGGGCCAGTTAATAGGTTTGGCTGTGTTATCCCAATTGGCCGGCCGCCCAAACTTTACATCACGATCCGACTTCCAGGCAATGTTTTCATAGGAAAATTTGACTATTTTGTTGACAGCATTGGACTGTCCTTTCTTTTGCGTCAAAGTTAGAGCAAAGGTATCTAAAAAATTGGGTTAATGTGTGCATATCAATACTTAGCAACAGTCGGGATGAATTTTGGGAGAGCCTCATGAATGGCAACGTTTGAACGGTTAAAAGTGCATAGAACACCAAGATATGCCTGACCAACTTTAAACCAACATAACCGACATCACAAATTTTCATAATCACAATGGCTTTAGATTCGTCAAGCGTCCAAGGATATTTTTTTCATCGCGAACACGAAAACCCCAACACATACACCCCGAATTATACGTGCGTCGACTTTAATTAATTATTTCCTTCTCTATCTTTAGTAAATGACGGATTCACACCTCACAGAAGTCTAGGTACTTATCAGCTAAGACCCGACTCAAAGGGCTATAGTAAACAGCTCAAATCTCGTACGTTTGCATTGTTAAGGAAATTCTACGCGGCTCCAATCAGATGACGCTTCGTGATACACAATAGGCAAAATAAAATATCCCAAATAAAATGAAAATAATATCTGCCCATTCACCACAAAAGCAGTCAGAGTCAGAGGTCGTCAAGACAGTACGCATCTCCCTTCCGGGTTAACAACTACAATTTCTTCCTCATTCCTTAAGCGTGTTTGGATCAATGCTGACAACACTCAATGGGATCGAGAGCACCGCCTTGTACCGCTAAGCCGTAGTAAATTGTATTCTCACAATCCACGATCACCTGTCCTGGCTACACTGATCTAATAGTAATCAGTGTTTACTTAATTTTTCGCCTAATTGGTGATTTATCTCTAGTGGTGAATTCATTTTAAAGGAAAGACACTTTGTGGAACTACATAAACGAATTACAGGGACAAATTTGGTCTACTATCATTTAACAGTCGACACAGCACAGTCATTCGGCACCTTCAACGGGCTGGGCTTTCGCCCAGCTCCAAAACGTAATTACGTCGTACTTAGTGCTTTAAAACCTCGTGCATTGCCAAATGAGAGCAATTTAAAAGCATGGTATACTAACTCGTACATATGCGCTTAGGAGAAGGTTGATCTCAAGATAACCACTGCGAATCGGATTGTTGACTTATACATATTGCAATAACATCCAAGTCACAGGCAATTTATGCGTGTTCACTAATTCTCACTATTAAGGCTACCAGCTGACGCTACCTCCACTTCCTCCCTAACCGTGATATCATTCATAGCTATTTACAGCAACAATGGCTTTGAAGTATTAGCTTGAACACAGCACACAGTTTCATCCGCGAAATTCGATTTACCTGTTTAATAAAATTTAATACATGAAATCGATTAAACCTTTTTCTACTCAGGAAAAAGTACATAACTAAGACTCACCATTAAATAGGCTGTTAGCTACAGCTCCACAAGGAGCAATGATTTTCTCAGTACCACTGTCGTTAAAATAGCGGTAGGGAGCACAATTTGGGCTCGGAACGGTAATTGCCTTTCCATTTAGCTGGTTGTCATCTCTGGACATAACGTATCGACGGTGATTTTGAAAGAAATTTGTTAGTCCATAGAATACATAAAGAGGACCCTTCAAATAGACATAGAAAATGGGAAACATTTTAATGATGCGGTCATGTAAATGACATTCCGAGACAACTAATTTCTGCTACAGAAGCTTTAAGAGATACTTAACACGAATAAGAGGCATTCACCAACGTAAAACGAACTAAAATTACTTAAGCTTAGATAACGGAGCAACATCTACTAACCAAGTAAGAGGCTTAAATTTGCAAACATCTGATGACTAATGTATGATTCCATACGACAAGTTATAGAACAACTGATCTTACCTGAAGATCAGTTTCCAAATTGAATTTTAATATGCAGTTACAAGTGGAAAAAGTCGAATTTTTTACCAGTTCCGCACACGACGGACCATTAGGGGTACTTGGCGGTGTACAGTGAGTATATGGGATGGAAATTTCAGTCACCTAAGTATGCAAAATAATAAAATTAACAAGTTACCCCATTTGAAGTAACTAAAAAGAATGCTCCAAGGGGGATAAAAATAATGGCAACAACGTAGAAATATGGACAGATATTGCTTGCAGTGAGAATCGGTTGCCAAGCCCACAACTTCTGCTGATAAAACCTTGAATCTATCATTACAATGCATTAAAAATGATCACAAAACCTTTAGGTTTCTTTGAATTCTGGAATTCAACACTTTCAACTTCCACAGACATTAAATCGACACACTAAAGTATTGGTACGAACCAATGAAATAACCAGCAATCTTCAGCCTTCTGTGATTGATTTAACAATCAATAAATCAGATAAATAATCATCCAAAATTTTTTGACACAAATTAAAAAAGAACGATTTTGAAGTGAAAAAAATTCAGTAACTAATTCAGCACTAACTGACTTCTTTTTCTTCTTTGATCTTTATCTCTCTGTGTGTTTGTGTGTGTGTGCATGTGTGTGCGTTCAAAGCTTAAGCCGAAGGCCGCTTGCTGTTCGTGAGTCTGTAATTGTTCTGTAAGACAACTTATTGAGTTTCGGCTATTGCACTTCCTACAAAACTCTTGAGTTGGTGCACTTTAAAACTCAACAGTAAGCTGTTTCACACAACGATAAATCTTCAGACGAGGCCACCGACAGTACTGAAATTGTCTCGCTTTAGACACTGACGAACGATCATTTCAGAATTCCAAAATCAAGGTACGACTCAGTGTCAGCTTTCATTTCACCCGAGGGTGGAGCTTACAACGACACAGACATTCCATACGACGCCGAGTTTTATGCTGAATTGCAGGCAGCCGGTGCGTTCTACTCTCTTTGGCTTCAATGCTAGTTGCGTTTTTTGAAATGCATTGGATCGAATGTGTAAAATGTTGCGAAAGTCTTTCAGCTGGTGACTTTTTTTTCTAATCCAAATGAGGTCTGATTTCACGAATCGCGTAGGTCGTCAGAATAAAGTAATATCGCTTTTGTGGCAAATGTATGTTCTATGTACATGACCACATTTAACTAATCATGTATCACCTGGAATATCTGTACTACTTTTATTCCTTAGACAATAAGTTGAACCCATATGGATTATTTGGACCGAAAGTCCTGTTCTTTGCATGATAATCACACTTTACACTTGATTATAGTATGCAACTCATGTTTGCTAAAGCTTGAGTTCCGTGTTTAGCCAAACTCGCAGTGTCGATTACTCGAAAACTCCGAGGTGGCTTGAAAACTCATACCTTGTAATATATATCATTAGTGCCAAGACTTTACTGTTACAAGCGATGATGCGTGTTGTACTAAAAATATATTCGAGTTAACTGATTTTTATATTAGATTTAAATACTGGTTTATAGCACATGTTTGTCTGAGGCAATTTCGTGGAAACTTTGAAATGTAAGACACATTTGTCAAATCCACAGTTCATTTATTGTCTGTTCTAATTGGTCTTTATAACTAATTATGATGCAAAATTTGATTTTCTTGGTATGGTGCTTGGAGCTAATTTTGTTCAGTAACTTTGAGTCCTTATTAAACAAAACATCCTGAATTGCCATCAAAAGAGAATCCACAGACATTTGAATCAATAACATAACCAAACTGATAACAATTTGTCTTGAATAGGATTCAATTAGCTTACCTTTAAATACTCTGTTTGGATATGTGTTTAAGAATTCAAATCCAAAATTTAGGCGTGCTTAACAAAGTTAAACACATAAAAAACCTGTTCTGAACACTCAAAGTCTTTTAACAGCACCGATCAACCACCACTTGTAATTCAATCGTCTAAAGGAACAATGTTTAAGAATTTACATTGGTTCTAATTAAAGTGTAAAATATTAAAACTTAAGATTAGAAAATTCATTTCTTCTTTAAATGTGTCCTAAGTGCTATCAACAGTGGTAGATATCATGTGCTTAAAACGAATTTTTCGTTATTATTGTCAAGGATTTCACGTTTAAATTACAATTGCCTGTTAAACCATCGCTACAACGATTATTTAGGCTTCAGCATGTTATTCACATACAAAACTAAAAAAATTACTTGAAAAATTAAATGCAAAATACTAATATGGCCTCCCCAAACCATCATATCACAAATATTTTAATTTCAATTTCCTCATGCCTAAATATTTATTAAATGTTAATCATACAAAGAATTACCACATTATTTCTTTAAAAATATTGTTATTACTAGAACGTGCTTTTATATAAAGATTTAAAAAGATAATTGAGCACGATAAAAAGATCCCACTCCTGTGACTTGTGTCAAGCCGGAAGAGAGCTGCACCACAATGACTATCAACGAGATCATCAATGGTAGTGTAAGACTTCAACGTACACAGTGACCTTGGTAGTTTGCACGAGAAGGTAAAACTCGTCCTGATATAGTACTTATCCTTATATACGTCATTCACATGTCGCCAAATGTAGTATGATGTTCCCCAAATTCTGATAGGTCGAAAATTGGTAAATGCTGGTACTGAACTGAATTCGTTCAGCACTTAGGTTGTCAAAATGGGAATGAGTTTTTACCCGATAAACAGTCGCATTAATCCTCCCTACGTTGCCTTTTTTGTAGGATACCTTCCCCGGTTTGATTGCGCTCATCCGACATTATCTGAGCATGATTGAGATTGAACCAAACACCGCATTCTCCATCCACCAGTACCTGAGTCTCATCTCACGGAGAGCCTCTGGTAGGCCGCTCTGCCTATAGGCCGGGCCCATTTTCCTGTGGTTTGCTACACTTATCGACTTTTCTTACTTTGATAATTAGTGGAGTTGGTGCAGCGGCAACCCACTACAACATTTAATACACCTCACATTTCGACATTTTTCAGCACAGACTTAACGAGGTGGTAGTGTCTCTGGTCAAATTGTGGCGCACCTGAATATTTTTAAACATCCCAAGATCCTGTAAATCCGTGCGCTGTGGAAGTTTCGTCATTAATAAACACACGTCCGTTAAAGTGCCTAAGTGTGTTTTAGTGCTCATTTGGTCGACAGCATCTTTGTGTATAGGATCTGTGAGTGCATGCTAGAGACGGATGCTTCTGAGTAAATTTGCAACGCGAATATTGCCAGGCAACGTCACTAGTGTGCACTCCTGGACAATGAATGCACTTGAATCTGAAATTGCTGGCCTATATGCGTTTAGTTGACAGTCAGTCATTGCGGCAGGCTTTCGTTTTCCTTGAAATGCAATGTTGTTTGCTGTTGTCTAATATCTATGTTACATTTTTTTGCGTAACAAAGAAAACACCTACTGAGATAACGGTACCAGATATCTTGTCTGACGCTAGAACCGACCTCCTCACGCTAATCCAAGACAAAGACCGAAGCTCATGTAGACAGCTTTAATCATCTCAAGCAAAGGACGAGTGACTTGTCAGAATGTCAACATTTATATAAACCAAGGGTGGCCTTGATTTGGTGGACGCAAGTTTATTAACATGAAAAAATGCTCAATATAAATCTTTGTGACAATTTAGATACACTGATTTTACTTATTGCTTTAACATCAAATCGTATATTAACACATGAATATCAAACGACTGTTTACCTTGCAGTCACCCAAATGCATTTCGTCAAGGCTTTTTCTTACTTAACAGAGGAGTTGCAGTACATTTCAGATGATCTTACCTTTATAGACTTTTTAACCTAGAAATTAACAAAGTGAAATTCCACTTTATGTTGTCAAAATGTACAAACCTTTTTATATTGATTTTCCCACAATTACATTATAGTGATTTTGAAAATGATACATTCAAACATTCGTTGCCTTATTTATATGTTCACTGTCGGTTGTTTAAAAATTTTTACTTAGCCTTGCTTATAATCTTTTTTTTGAACGTATAATACTCGTTATAACTGCCATTATCTGTTCAAAATGTCTACTTTTGAAGCTCATTATTCACTTTACTAATTTTCGTAATAATTTTTAAATATCGAAACACATTTTCGTTATTGAGCGTCTCTAATCGTGCTTTTATTCTACGGGTTTTCTAGTATAATTTCGAGATCAAATTTGAAGTCAGTTGTGAGCATTGATATTTACGCCGTTATTGGCTATCACATGGCCTAATGATGAATCTGACGTTCAAATTTAGTCAGCAATCTCAGTTGTCAAAAGTCAGCTAAGTTGAGCTTGCGAAATGGAAAAATTATTTGAACTTAAAAATGGCTGCTGAAAGGAAGGCTACAAATGAGGAACCAATTAAAACTGCGTCAATAGGTGACAGTTTTAAACATGCAATTAACCATTTTCGTATTGGGTTCAACGTATTAAGGTTTCTGATTAAGATCCTACAAACGCAAATGAGGCAAATACAGGCACCTCAACGTGCCTCTAAAATGCGTCATTTCTTTGTTTGAAATCTTTTTTTTATTATTTTGCTTTTTCTTTTATTCAAAATATGCATTTATTAAAAATCTAGTTATTTAAATTTATTAGATTCTTGTAAATTTAGCATATGTTTCTGCATAATTGCACTGCTAATTATTTTTAAGTAGTCTTACAATATAGGCTATTAACAGGCGTAAATTGGATGTATTTTTAAAATTTGAAGCAAGTTCAATCAGACATCAACTAATACTTCAAGTCGAAGAAACATTACGGAGCACTGAATGTGCTAAGAACACCACTTATTCAAGTTTGAACTTGTCAAAGGGTTAATAAGCTGTCTTGTAGGATTATTTATTTATGGGTAGAATCTAAAAGTGAAGTAATGCTTAATAACTTTTAAATTATTCTGATCAGTGTCATTTAGAACAGGATTAAACCTGTAAAATGGTTCTCAATGGACTTATAGCACAGGATTTTGTGCAGCACCATTTAAGATAGCCGCCATCTTGGGGCTCAGTCATTGGTCAAAAGTTGAACTGCATGGGAGGATGCCGTCGTCATGTGACCGGGCGCACAACATCCGACCGCTTGGCCTTATGTGGGCATTGAATAACGAACCGAGAACTGGAAAATACTGTCTGCTCACAAGTTGTGTGTCTCCAATGCTGCGCTGAAGAGTGGACCAACGTCTTCACCCTATGACTTTAAACCAGACTGTAAAAGTATATTATCCATGATAAATCTATCTTTTTTTCCTACCGTAGCCCGAAAGTTTAGCATTGTTATATGTGTAAAGGTCACTATCCCATAGGATGCACATTAGTAAAAAAACCAATCTAGCCCACTGTTGAACACTTTAATCAGACAAGAATTTCCTGATTTAAATATGATGGATACGGGTCCTGATAAATGGCGGAAAAAAAGTTGATTGAAAGACGCAGAGTCAGATTTAGGATTTCATGGAGGGGGAATTCTGTGCCTCGAGCGTAATTTGAATCCAACTTTAACACTTAGCGAAACAAGTGACTTATTGAAGTCAATTTGACAAATTTTTTGTAAAGAACTTTATTTAATCCAAATAAAAGGCAGATAAAGAAAAAAAGATTAACTTTTTTTCTGTAATATAACTCCATTCTTTTTGTCACAATTAACTAGAACCCGAAACACCTTTTACGTTCAATGCAATTACAACTATAGTATCTAGTTTATTAATAAGTTAACTAGCAAAATCTTTTAAGAAATCTGAATGATTGTGCTTTTTATTTATTTTACTTATATAACATGATTTGGCCTTGAGAATGTTTATATATCTCACTTGACATTGTCACCCGTGGTTGAATCTTGCGGCTGTTCTAGGGGATGGGTTTATTGACGTCGGGTGTACCGCTTTCATGGGCTGATACTAAGAAATATTCTACATTTGTTCGTAGGCAAGGAGTTCGACAGTTTATTCGACAATATCACAAGCTATCCAAAGCAACGGGTGCTGCTCTATATTTTGGTGATGAAATCGAATACACTTTGATTCATGTTGATCCGAAAACAAGGGAGGCTAGGCTCTTGTTAATTGCTTCTGAACTGATACCGTATTTGCAATGGGAAGAAAATAAGCTGCCTACGTAAGTTTTTGTAGCTTTGTGCTAATGTTGTCTATCATCCAATGACTTGAAAACCCTTTGTGATATATTTGTGCTCGTGACTTTACCAACTTGATTTTTTGCAACTTTGGTACTACAGACAGTTTTGGTATTTTCATTTTAGGGGAAGTCCGATTGACGTGTTGTGGAGGCCTGAGTATGCCTCATACATGATTGAAGGAACTCCAGGAAAGCCGTTTGGGCATATAGCAGAATATCTTAATACCGTTGAATTCAATATGCAAAAACGACGGGAACATGTTCAAAAACGTCTTCCAGAAAACTGCTACATTATTTGTTTGTCGGCATTCCCCAGGTATTCGACCATGCTTCTGCCTTAGTATCATTGAGAAAACGACATTTTCCTCTTGCTGATGGATACCTAAGGAATTGTCTCGCCTAAGTCAAGATATGCAACCCGATTATTATCTTAGTTTTTGGTATAATTTGGTGTCCAGAGCACAATTTGTCTTGTAGGTGTGATACGGTTTCTAATTAATCTAATGAAGGTGCAAATACGTATTATGTGACTGCGGAGGAACCTTTATCTGTGATTACTTTAGTTTTACTCTTCAACATTACAGGCTTGGCTGTCCGAATTTCACGTACCCTCCTGCTTCTCCCACACCAACCGAAGGCGCTGCACATAGCCTTTTTTATCCTGAAGAAGCTATAAACGCTTCGCATCCACGCTACAAGTACGTCTAATGCAACTTAAATGCGGTGTACTCAATTCAGTGGTCATTTATTTATATTTTGGACTTGTAGAACTCTAACACGCAACATACGCCAGCGCAGGGGTTCCAAAGTTGTTATCAATGCACCAAGTGTGTTTGCATTCATCTCTAATTATTTATTTCGAAATCCCTGTCGCTCCCTCCGCCTCATCCTAATTCGCCTTTCGGTCCTATTTTGTTTAACAACTTAATTTGTTGCGATCTATTTAAGTATAGGTCTTAGAACGTTTCGGGGACATGCAGAAAATAGATTTGTGTAAAAGAACGAGCCGTTAATGACGTAGTATCTTTTACACAACTTCACGTAGGTTTCCAGATAACGAAAGTTAGTGCTGTCAATGGTCTTAAGTCAATGACCACTGTGTCGTTATTTCCACTATTCGCTCAAGCTCTGTTTTAAGCGAAAATCGATTTTTTTGCTTTTAATAAGTTTTCCGTGATAACAATACACCAAAGCCATTTATCGAGGACCTCACGCGCTACCGGGATGCTAATGATGATGCCACTCCTCCCACTCTTCCTGATCATGTTTACATGGACGCCATGGGATTCGGCATGGGATGTTGTTGTCTCCAGGTCACTTTTCAAGTAAATCTTTAAATTATTACATTTTGAGCATACTTAAGATGTTTGCTTTCTAGGGGTTTGTGCCTTTTTTATTCGCCTGATTTCTTCAGCCTTTGAGTTCATAGAGTCTAACTCTCCAGTTTTCAAATCTTTTTGATGCATTTGATAACATTAGACACCAAAATCAAAACTAAATTCGGGTTAGCACAGTAATCATAGTTTATAATGTAAGTTTAAGTACACCTCGGAAACTAAGGACTTTCTGAAATCTGACTTGATCGATCCTTGTTTAAAACTAATTTTGACGTCGTGAAGTTCCTTGAAAAAACGATTTTCTTCCGAATATTGGCTGTACGTTCCACATATTTGTTTCTCATTAGTTTTAGCTTTAAGGCGAATTATTGTTTCCGTTTCATTTCACTTTTCTGGGGTCTTTCAGAGGCTGGATCTCTTTATTAACAGTCAATTGAGTCCTTATGGTGGCGGCTAAAGTCGTTTAGAATCATGTATTTGCGGTAAACATGCCGCCATTTTAAGTTCCTTCATCTTTACTTTCTCATTTGACGTCCCAAAAAACTTTCGAAAGTGTGTCACTTCCGTTTAGGTTATCTGAATAAGTAATCAACTTGGGCGGCCACTTGGAGGTTTTCTTGATATAGCGGGTAAATATTAGACGCGTTGCCACCACCGTGAATTGCCATGCAGCAACCTTCCCGGAGACTTTTGCTTCGAATCAACATTTAAAACTCCTCCCATCTGCTTTTAATGCCAGCACAGGCCCTCTTTCATGTCTTGGAATTGCTATCTTGTATTGTGCGATCATTTTTTGCTATGTAATATAATTAAGTCTGCAGTTCATTATACGGTGCAAAGGAGAACTGGATGGTTTCTTAATACGTGTCCACTATTGAGGCTATTGAATGAATTTGATGTTGACCGTTTGTATGTCTAAAAACAACTGCAGTTACAGCAAATTAAGTACATTTTGGTCAAAAGAGAAAAACAAGTGTGGGTATTGTATTTAGAACGAAATTGAATATGTCGTATGTAATTACGAATGCCATGTTAACTAAAGTAAGGAAAGTCACATTTTCGGAAACGTATTGGCGTAATTCATGTGTCATAATAACAGGTATCTCAATCTCCCGAATGACAATAAATCTAAACTTCTATTTTCACGTACTTGTAATGAATTTCTAAAGCGCCATGCACTTGAGGATAGGCCTATTTTATCATTGGAATTTAAAATCCAAGTTTATAAGTAAAATCTACCATTATGTGTATGTGCTTGTTAAAAAAAGTGTAATTACGTTGCTCTAAACGATTCATTCGAGTTGGCAATCGTCACTAAATCCACCACATACCATCCAGGTACTTTTAAAAAACAAAAAATACCCAAAATAAACTATAAAGCCCGTAGCTTGTTGTGTATTTAACTAGGTAGTTATTTAATTTCCGTTTCCTTGGGGTTTTATGCATACATGGGGGTATAAAATGTAACTGGGGAATTCGTAAGACGAATTTGAAGTCTCGACTACAATGGCCTCCATTAGAATTTAAGCCATTAGTTTTGACCCTTTGCTACACGTCGCTTCCTATTAAAACTGCTCTGACTTAGGGTTGCTGCATATCAGAAGCCCGCATGTTGTACGACCAGTTAACCACGATATGTCCAATGGCAATGGCTTTAAGTGCCGCGACTCCAGCCATAAGAGGCTACCTCCTTGACACCGACTGTCGATGGGACATTGTTTCTGCCTCTGTGGACGACCGTACGGAGGAGGAGCGTGGACTAAAGGTAATTTCACCAGTGCCAGCAAACTGCATTGCCTTGACCTCACTCAACTAGGTATTCCCACATGTGCGCATTTCATTTCCTGTCTGTCTTATTAACTACTAACTGACTTCTTCTTCTTCTTTGATCTTTATCTCTTTGTGTGTGTGTGTGTGTGTGTGCATGTGTGTGCGTTCAAAGCTTAAGCCGAAGGCCGCTTGCTGTTCCTGAGTCGGTAATTGTTCTTTGAGGCAACTTGTTGTGTTTGGGCTATTTCACTTCACAGAGAACTCTTGAGTTGGTGCACTTTAGAACCCGACAATAAGCTGTTTCGCACAATGAAACATCTTCAGACGAGGTCACCGACAGTACTGAAATTGTCTCGCTTTAGACACTGACGAACGATCATTTCAGAATTCCAAAATCAAGGTACGACTCAGTGTCAGCTTTCATTTCACCCGAGGGTGGAGCTTACAACGACACAGACATTCCATACGACGCCGAGTTTTATGCTGAATTGCAGGCAGCCGGTGCGTTCTACTCTCTTTGGCTTCAATGCTAGTTGCGTTTTTTGAAATGCATTGGATCGAATGTGTAAAATGTTGCGAAAGTCTTTCAGCTGGTGACTTTTTTTTCTAATCCAAATGAGGTCTGATTTCACGAATCGCGTAGGTCGTCAGAATAAAGTAATATCGCTTTTGTGGCAAATGTATGTTCTATGTACATGACCACATTTAACTAATCATGTATCACCTGGAATATCTGTACTACTTTTATTCCTTAGACAATAAGTTGAGCCCATATGGATTATTTGGACCGAAAGTCCTGTTCTTTGCATGATAATCACACTTTACACTTGATTATAGTATGCAGCTCATGTTTGCTAAAGCTTGAGTTCCGTGTTTAGCCAAACTCGCAGTGTCGATTACTTGAAAACCCCGAGGTGGCCTGGAAACGCAAACCCTAGAAATCATGAGGCTTTATAATGTTGTTTGTCATGATGGAAAAAAATCAGTTAATGGAATATACCTGACTTAAAATAAGGTCAGAGAAAAATCCCCTTGTAGAATGCGGGGTTGGCTCAACCCAGAACAAGGAAAGAACGAGGTCGGGTTCGATTAACATGGCAAATTCGACACTAATGTGGTAGCTTTAGATTTCTGACGTCTTTAATTGCTGTTGTCAGCTGGACAAAATCTTTCTTTTCCCAAATCAAAGTTTTTAAATTCGAACAATTGCCGCTTTTTCTCATGTAAGGCATTGATGATCTACTTGCTCGGCACATCGCCCACCTCTTCATTCGTGACCCGCTCGCGCTGTACGCCGAGAAACTCGAGCCCCTGGACGAGGATGACACGGACCACTTTGAGGTTGGTGCTGTGCTTTCTCTTGTATTGTTTGGCCTTATTTCCACCCGTAGTGTGGGTACTACATTTTTCTGAATTTCTGCTAATTAGTCAAACTCTTGTGCCATTATTTGATCGGACCTTGCTTTTGAAATGGAAGTATCGACACACTACGCTGTAGTGTGTTGTTTATTACTTCTGGTGGCGCTCCCCGTACAATGCTTCTCAATTCCATCATAAAGTTATTTGGACAATTTGTAACTTGCTGGCAGTATTCGTTTTTTGGTCGACCATGTACATTTAACGTGTTTTTAAGCTTCCGTGGTTATTCTTATCATGTACACGCTCTAGCGTGTTGCGAATAGCCTTTAGTATTCGAATGCCTTAGAAGCTCACAAGGTTCTTAACAATAAGAATTTTGCCATGGCTGTTGCAATTTCGATAAATCTCCCTTTATAGATGCAGTCTTCGTAAATTTAAATCTTAAATTTAGCTTAAGACTAGTCACCATCAGTCGCGTATGGTGGCACTAACTTCTAGTGCTTCGTGACTATTGGTAAACAAGATGTTTGTACTTTTTGGTTCCAATTTTACAGGCGGCGATATTTCGGTTCAATTCTAGTTTGCATTTATCAATGATACTTGGCAGGATTGTACGATTATCGGTGTTTACTTAAGCAGTTGTTGCGCGCTGTAATGTGTGTATGTTTTCTTTCAGAACATTCAGTCTACAAATTGGCAGTCGATGCGCTTCAAACCACCTCCTCCCAACTCGGACATTGGTTGGAGAGTTGAATTTCGTCCTATGGAAGTTCAGTTGACGGATTTCGAGAACGCCGCTTTTGCAACCTTTGTGGTACTTCTCACACGGACGATCCTCTCGCTCAAATTAAACTTTCTCATTCCAATCTCCAAGGTTGAAGAAAATATGCGAAACGCTGTCAAGCGAGATGCGGTGAACCGAGAAAAGTTCCATTTCAGACGGGGTGATCTCATCTTTGTTGGTGAGCCCATTTCACTAAGCATTCTCCGTAAATGTCTTAGCTATAATCAGTGTGTTTTCGTTACGTTTTCCGTTCATAAATGATCTGTTAAGGAATTTATTGTAGTTCTGGTCCAGGCACTACCCGTATCTAAGTATATTCAAGCACAAATAGTCTATCTCCTTATGGGGAAATAAATAAGGCTAAAATCGTACCTGAAAAGTATTGCTGGATAAGTAGGAGCAACCGGATGGCGACTCAACTGTGTGGGATGTGAATGTTTTAATAAAGTTTATGGCTTTTTAGATAGATCCTCACTGCCTCATTATCTAACAACTTTAATGAAGTAAGATGTAGTTGACATCTCAACTGTACTGTTATTCTCCTGCACACGTGCGACATGCTAACCGTGGCCTGTGCGCATCCCTTTGAAGTTGTGACAATAATCTGAAGTTCCATTGCCGCCTAAACCCCTTCATGTGAAGGCTTGGTGCGCCGCCAGACTGGTAGGCACGTTTTTGGAGTGTGAAATCTAATCGATGTAGTTGTTTTTTAGTTAAATGACAATGCTCTGGTATCGACGAGGAATTCCCAAGTGTCATGTCAGTTCGTACACGCGTTACATCACGCAATTCATTCACTTGGTTTCATGACCGCAGTAAAATGAATAACAGACAGTAATATTGTTAGACGGTTTCGTCTTCTTGGGATAGATTAACGTTGACCATCAATTCACAAAAGGCCAGATTTAATTAGAAGGTCACAAATCTCGGCATCGCTCGCATACATTGGCTAATACTCACTGGTAGTCGTGCGCTATTAGTTTGGAAAAAAAGGAGGAAAGGTCTTTCGGGAATGTGTTTCTGTATGATTTGGGGCTTTTTGGGTATCGAAGGTTAATAGTGATTTACAGTGGGTTTCTTTAGCGACAAAGAAACGGCGATTGTACCGATAGGTACATCACATAAACATGCAAGCCATTAAATATTTTTGGTCGGTTTTTTTATATTAGTGGTTTATTTGTCAAGCAAGCTTGGTTAGAATGTTTAATTCGCTTAAAACCCACCTCTACTGATACAACTTTAAATGCTGGTATTGGTCGAAAATGGGATATTTGCGCGGTCGGCGAATGCTCCTCTTCCCCCGTTTGTGTGAACATACTTTAGCTCAAAGTGTAATTAAAACTGAAGAAGGAAGTATAAATGCGTTTCACATTTTCCCTAATTTATAAATGCACTCCATAGTTTCACTATGTTATCAGTTTCCGGTGTGTTGTGTCCAACATGTTCACGATTGAAATGTAAACACAAAAGTATTGTATTCAAAATGGGGGATTTGCACACAAAGTGACTTTCATCAATGACTGTCATTTTCATGGCTTCGTCGTATGCTTACATTCCCGCCTATTGTAGATCATATCACAAAAGCATTGCTTCATGTGGTGCTGTGGGTGCATATTCCTACTAAGCCTCAAACCATGGATGCTCAAGTCCTGATTTGGTTTACTGTAGCCAACTTCGAGCAATCAGAGCATCTGGACTGGGAAATACCAACCAACACTATTACTTTTTTATTCTTAGGTGATACGTCAAGCAGATTGGTAAAGGGATTATCCGTTTTTCACATTTATTGATTAATAAAATTAGAGGTCTTTTAATGAATGGTTGCACTAATCACGGGTTCTTTTTTCGCAGCTCGTTGGAGTTTGTTGCATTTCCGTTTAGGTAAAAGTAAGGAGGCTGCCGCTGCAGCCTGTCGCCGTATCCGTCTTTCTCAGAATTTTGGTGGTGACCATCTCGCTGGTGACAGTCCTAACTCCCATTGCCATCCGACATCGCCCGAGAGCCTCTTTGATGGGGAAAAAACAAACCACCCTCCGTCCTCAACAAATTTACCTAACCCTGTTGATGGCGATGATTCGCTGTCTTCCACACCTGCGACCTGTGTCAAGCCGGAAGAGAGCTACACCACGATGACCATCAACGAGATCATCAATGGTAGTGTAAGTCTTCAACGTACACAGTGACCTTGGTAGTTTGCACGAGAAGGTAAAACTCGTCCTGATATAGTACTTATCCTTATATACGT